AGAAAAACAGGAAAAATGTTCAGAATATATACTTTTTCAAAATTTATAAAAAATCACTTCGCATTGTATTCTTTTAATTTTTCTTGTTCTTTTTTGTACTAAGCAGAGTCCGAATTGGACATACACATCTTGCACACGAATACTTACTCAAAGCAGAGACTGCACCTCAGTGCATCTTTTGTGATTAATTGCTCACTGTTAAATGCATCCTAATAGACTGGAAAAATACAAAAATATAAAAAAAAAAAAATCCAAAACAATAAAAAAAAAAAAAAAAAAAAAGTGCATCAAATACTGTGATGTACAAAGAGACTTACTATGCTTTTCCAAAATGTATCTGTTTCTAAAATAATAAGGCTACCTGAAAGAAATAGGCTACTCCCAGCAGTTATAGAAGAAAGCACAATACATCTATAAACTATACCTTTAAAAACAACATACGATTGTCCTGAAAGTATAAAATTGCGTACAAAACATCTATAGTTGTTATGGTCCAGGTTAGGACCAAGGAAGAACAATACGAACACAAAAGTAGAAATAACGAAGGTATATTACACGAAATAATAATACAAGATGTGGAAGGTGTTAGTATGACTGTCAGTCTGGTTTGGAGTAAACTACTATCGGCTCGGCTTCATTCAGTATCTAGCCACCCCCCACGAGGGTTGCATATGGCACAAGGCAGAGTTTAACGTGGGTTTCCCGAGCCCGTAGGCTCGGTCAAAAAATGCCCGTAGAACCCGTATAAACGGGATCGGGTTGGTCAACCTCCCCGAACAAGACTCTGCCCTTCGGCGGAGCCCCGTCCGTGTTCCTCCCTTCTCACAGGTAGAGAGTTCGACCGTCAAGCCGAGCTTCTCGGCTTGATTCGAGTATCTTATTCCCCACGAGGGTTGCATGTGGCACAAGGCCGAGTTTTTACGTGGGTTTCCCAACAGCCCGTAGGCTCGGCCAAAAAATGCCGTATAACCCGTATAAACGAGATCGGGTTGGTCATTTTCCCCGAACGAGATTCTGCCCTTCGGCGGAACCTCGTCCGGGTTCCTTTCTGCTCAGAGGCAGAAAATTCGATCGTCAAGTCGAGAAGCTCGGCTTGATTCGGTATCTAGCCCCCCCCCCACGAGGGTTGCATGTGACACAAGGCCGAGTTTTATCGTTTCCGGTTTAGGCTCAGCCCGTAGGCTCAGCCCCAAAAATGCCCGTATAACTCGTAAAAAAACGAGATCAGGTTGGTCATTTCTCCCCGAACGAGATTCTGCCCTTCGGCGGAACCTCGTCCATGGTTCCCAATCTGCTCAAAAGAAAAGTTCGACCGTCGTCCGGGATTCGGTATTTCTGCATGTGACACAAAGGTTTCAAGAAGAATCGTTCGACCGCCCGTAGGCTCAAAAGAAAACGAATGCCCGTATAACTTTTTAAAAACGTAGATCGGGTAACCCAATTTCTCACCGAACGAGATTCTGCCCCCCCTCGTCCGGGTTCCTTTCTGCTCAAAAAGCAGAAGTTCGACCGTCAAGTCGAAAAGCCGGCTTGATTCGGTTCCCAAAACCCCCCACGAGGGTTGCATGAAGACACAAGGTCATTTTATCGTGGGTTTCCTTCTTAAGCCAAAAATATTCCCGTATAACTCGTAAAAACGAGATCAGGTTATCATTTCACCCCGAACGAGATTCTGCCCTTCGGCGGAACCTCGTCCGGGTTCCTTTCTGCTCAAAAATTTAGAGAAAGTTCGACCGTCAAGTCGAAAAGCTCGGCTTGATTCGGTATCTATCCACCCCCACGAGGGTTGCATGTGACACAAGGTCGAGTTTTTCGTGGGTTTCCCGAGCCCGTAGGCTCGGCCAAAAATGCCCGTATAACCCGTATAAACGAGATCGGGTTGGTCATTTTCCCCGAACGAGATTCTGCCCTTCGGCGGAACCTCGTCCGGGTTCCTTTCTGCTCAAAAGAAAGTTCGACCGTCAAGTCGAGAAGCTCGGCTTGACAAGGGTATCTAGCCAGACCCCATGAGGGTTTTTTGTGACACAAAATCATATATTATCGTGGATTCCGGGAGCCCGTAGGCTCAGTTTAAAAAAATTCAAACCCGTTATCTTTCCCCGGTAAAAAAGATTTTATCGGGTTCAAATCATATCTCCCCGAACGAGATTCTGCCCTTCGGCGGAACCTCGTCCGGGTTCCTTTTCTGCTCAAAAGCAGAGAATAGTTCGACCGTCATAGTCCACAGAAGCTCGGCTTGATTCGGTTTCTTCTTTCCCCCCCACGAGGGTTGCATGTGGCACAAGGCCGAAAAATCGTGGGTTTCCTGAGCCCGTAGGCTCAGCCAAAAAATTAAAACCCGTAAAAACGAGATCAGGTTGGTCATTCTTCCCCGAACGAGATTCTGCCCTTCGGCGGAACCTCGTCCGGGTTCCTTTCTGCTCAAAAGCAGAGAGTTCGACCGTCAAGTCGAGAAGCTCTGCTTTGATTCGGTATCTATTTTTATAAAGGGGTTGCACGTGGCACAAGGCCGAGTTTATCGTGGGTTTCCCTGAGCCCGTAGGCTCAGCCAAACAATGCCCGTATAACCCTTAAAAAACGAGATCGGGTTGGTCATTTCTCCCCGAACGAGATTCTGCCCTTCGGCGGAACCTCGTCCGGGTTCCTTTCTGCTCTCAGAATGCAGAGTTCGACCGTCAAGCCGAGAAGCTCGGCTTGATTCGGTATCTAGCCCCCCACCCACGAATGTTGCATATGGCACAAGGCCGAGTTTATCGTGGGATTCCTGAGCCCGTAGGCTCAAAATATTTGATTGCCCGTATAACCCGTATAAACGAGATCGGTTTGGTCATTTTCCCCATACGAGATTCTGCCCTTGGCGGAACCTCGTCCGGTTTCCTTTTCTGCTCAGAGGCAGAGATTCGACCGTCAAGTTCAGAAGATCGGCTTGATTTGTCCCTTTGAAAATTTTGAGGCGTAGTATACATAGTGTTAAAGAAGTTCATTCTGTAGTTATAGGTTTTACCCATGGCAATAGTTGAATATATAAAAATATTACAAAACTTTTGAATTTCGGCATTGAGTGGCCCCTGGATGTTGTCATACTGCTGAAAAAAAACCCCCAAAACAACCAACCAGCAATGTTGGTTTTGGCATTAATGATCCATAGTGGTTGATATGCCGGGTAAATAACCAACCAATCACTCAACCAATTTGTTGTTCACAGATATTTTGATAAATATATGAATAAAAAATTGTTTTCATAGTTATTTCTTTATAATATGGCAAATATTAAATATTGTATTGTAGTTGGTTCACAATTTTTTTTTATATAAAATCTTTATTGTAAATAAATAAATAGTGTATAGCATTTTTGTTGTCACTTCTCGAGAATAATTAACGCATCAATCCTGTTTCATGTGTTAGGTTTTTATAAAAAATTCTAGAAATAGCTTTTGTTTTAAAAAGCTATTCTTAGAATCAAATTCTAAAAATACCTTCTTAAAACAATAAAAATTATCGATGAAGTATACAGATTACGGGGTCAAGAGAAAAACCGTCCTCTTAACACTATTTTTGTTTATTAAGAGGGTACGTTTGTTAAACTTTACCTGAAATAAATAAATACGAGGAAGAAACAAAATTGGGCCGTAAATGCTAGTGTAATATTATCGTTCTTCGAACTTCGAGGCTAAGTCTGTTATAAGTAAAATTATTGTTTATTCAACTTCGGATTTCGTCAATGTCACACACCGTGGGGCTGTGTGACATTGGCGATCTTGTCCCGGATGTGATTCTTCTCGCTTTTTCTCTCTCGTGTGGGTGCTTATATATCTTCCTCTCATTGGTTATCCCCCATGTGCACATCCTAAGGGTAGATGGGTTAACCGCTTGTTTTGTCGGGAGCCGTCACTAACATTCAGTAATGACACAAATCTGCACCTGGAGGATAGTAGGTCATCCTCCCGCCCAATCATCTGATGCATCTGTCCTCTTTGAAGTTCTTGTGTAACACTGAGTGAAAAGTCTATTTTGGTATAATTTGGGGTCATCCAAGTACAGAACAACTCATAGAACAAAGTATCTTTATTGTTATTAAATTCGATTCAGACTATTTACTTGTTTGACTACTATACTAAACTAGAGATGTATGTTGTACCCTGAGATGTATGTTGTTAGGGACGTGCGAATATCACTTTATTAAGTAGTAATAAGAGTCATTGAGATAGGGAAATATGTCTTTCAAAAGCTAAGTAAAATATTAGGAAACAGGAATATTTCGTTAGAAACAAAGAAAAGAGTACTGAGCTGTTATTTAATATCAGTCCTCCTATACGGCAGTGAATGCTGGACAATCTCCTCAGAGATGAAGAAGAGACTTGAAGCAACAGACATGTATAGTTCTACAGAAGGATGCTGAGAATACCAAGGACTGAAAATGTGAGCAACGACGAAGTTTTAAAGAAAATGAAAACGAAAAGGACCCTTACATTTCGCATAAGAAAGTAACAATTGAAATTTCTAGGGTACATGATGAGGAAAGAGGGCTTGGAAAGTTTGACACTCACGGGACAGATTGAAAGCAAGCGGGAGAGAGGAAATAGCACATAACCTACCTAAATGAATGGCAGAACAGGGTTTAGGAGAGATGACAAAGATGTTAACTTAGAGCCAAAAAAGGACAGGAAATTGTGGAGAGCCATGATCGCCAACGTGACACGGTAGATAGAATAATAATAATAATATAAGATTTATGATAGAAACAGTATTCGTTTTAGCTTTCGAAACAGTATAAATATTCTTGTACCGATAACGACTGCAATAATAATAATAATAATAATAATAATGATACGATGGTGAAGAGGCATTAGATGCCGACTTTCTCGGCAGTGCCGGCTAGAAGACGCCTTGTATTGTAGCCATTTGCGGCTTTCGTAATTACATTAGCGCGGCGTTAATCAATAGTCATCTGGTTTGAAGTGTTTCAGTAGTTATTGCGTGCTTGTTTTGGGTAGAAGGACAAAAAGGGGGCGATAGAAAGAGAGGAAATATAGAAAAAGAGGAGAGGTGAGAGGTGAGGAAAAATGAAAAACTTTAGAGAGAATAACGGAGGCATTTATAGGGAGGAGGGGAAGAGAAAACGAGGGAAAGAGAAAGAGATATAGGGGAAAAGAGGTATGCAGAAAGAAAGGGAAATTGAGAGTAATAGGGAGAGAGAAGAGAAGGAAAAGAGAGAAGAGAATTATAGCGTCACGTGCAGGGAAGTGAGAAGCAGATCTGTGGAGAAAGAGGGTAGAGAAGAGTGAGGGAAAAGAAGAACAGTGAACATTTAGAGAGAATCACGGAGGCATTTATAGGGAGGAGGGAAGAGAAATTAAACAGAAAGGTGAGAGAAAGAGAAATAGGGAGAGAGAATGGTAAGGAGAAAGAAGAAGAGAGATAGGCAGAAAGCAGAGAGACAGAGATCGATGTGGAGGAAGGAGGAAAAGAAATAAGTGGAAACATTCAGAATTATAGAGCGATTTTTAGAGAGGAGAGAATTGTACATTTGGAAAGAGAGGGTAGAGAGGGAAAGAGATAGGAGAAATTAAATGGGAAACAGAGAATTATGGAGACATTTAGAAAGAGAGAGAGAGAGAGAGAGAGAGAGAGGGAGAAAGAGTAAGGAATAGTGAGGGGAAGAAGAAGATAGAGACAGAAGGGGAAAGAAAGGGAAACAGAGAATTAGGGAAGCATTTATCAAGAGAATGAAAGTCAACGAGAGACAGACAGGAAGATATTAAAAAAATAGGTCGAGAGAGACAAGGGAAGCTAAGAAAAAAGAGAAAGCAAGTGATACGAATAGAAAAAGATGGAAAGAGAGTCGTTAAAACACTGTAAAAGAAAAAAAATAGATACAGGGCAGATAGATCGATTGATCGATCGATCGATATTTAAATTGATAGATAGGAACAATTGATATATATATATATATATATATATATATATATATATATATATATATATATAGATAAATAGATAGATGAACAGCTTTAGATAGATAGATATATTTAGATAGATAGATAGATAGATAGGATATAGCTTGATATATATATATATATATATATATATATATATATATATATATATAGATAGATAGATAGATAGATACGAACAGCTTTAGATAGATAGATAGATAGGAATAGCTTGAGATAGATAAATAGAAAGAAATAGCTTTAGATAGATAGAAAGAAGGGAATATAGACAGATAGATAGATAGATGGAAAGGAACACACACACAGATATATATATAGATAGATAGGAACAGCTTGAGATAGATGGATAGATAGATATGAACAGCTTGAGATAAATTGATAGGTAGAAAGGATCATAGATAGATAGATAGGAACAGCTTGAGATAGAGCGTGAGAGATAGAAAGGAATATATATATATATATATATAGAGAGAGAGAGAGAGAGTTTTTGAAATAGAGATAGAGAAAGAGCGAGAGAGAAATAGGGAGGGCGATAAAGAGAGAATGAACGAAAAAATAACAACAGAATGAAGGAAAGCATAAAAAACAACTCCCGAAAAACTAACGAATAATACAAAAACCAGGATCGGGTTTGTTCGCGGATTCATGAGAGAAAGAAAGACAAAAGTCTAGAAGCGAAATACAAAAATACTAAAAGAAAGCAAAAAGAAAAAAAAAAAGAAAAAAAACAAACAAAACAAAACCAAAATAAGATCGCAAGCCGTTGTTAGGATGTCTGTCAACGTTAATGGATCAAAAAGTACAAAATAAGGGAAAATGGCGGCGAGAAACGTGAAAGCCGTTACAGTGACATAAAGCGCCACCTAGCTGACAATATCAACACCACTACGTACACTTAAGTCAATGTACAGGTGACTGATTACCAGCAATATTATACCCATCACCATTAATTCTAACACAAGTCCTTCAATAACACGTACACTGTCAATATCATTATGACTGTGAGCGCCAATAATGACATTATTAATATTAGCAACCAATCATATAAGCCTTGTTTATGGATTCTCAAATCATTAAATTTTGGGCCGATTGCTTCTGAAGAACGTTCTTCTTAATTTCAAGTCACGAAGTTACGGCTTTAAGATCCTGTTTGGTAAAATGTTTAATCTTGTTTTTATTGTTAAGTAGCAGAAACGATTGTCATTGGCACATAAATGTCCTTCGATCTCGGCCTTTTATGAACGAAGAACCGGGTAAAACAAATCGTTAACTTAGCTGTAAATCATTAGAAAGTTTTGGTAGATTCGCTTCCAATGTTAATTTAATCACCGTAGAGAACCTTTTCTGTTTGCTATCGACGAACCGCTTGAAAATAGTTAATGAATTTGGCCGAAAGCGCTTGGGAAAGTAATAACTTCGCACAATTTCTACACACACACACACTCTCTCTCTCTCTTTTTACAATGATATTCACCCTGTAAAAATCCGAAGATCCACTCGAGTTAGAAGGTGACATAAATAAAAGGCTTTACAAGGAACCAGAATCCCAGTCTTAAACAGAAAACAAGATATCAACCTCTACTTTCGTTCAAAAGACTGGGGAGGAGTGCGAACCGGACGATAGGCGAATCTGTCTACTCCTATTGAGAAAAGAAAAATTCAATACTAAATAAAAGGTCATAAATATAGGTGGAGGTGTTAGAAGTATAGAGCTTAAGTGAATTTTAGAAGGGACCGGAAACCCAACCCCACACAGGAAACAAGGGATAAACCTCTACTCCTGTTCAACAGACCGTGGAGTAGGGTGAACCGAACGATAGGCGAATCTATCAAATCTATAGACTGTAATTTCGACAAACATTTTAAGGTGCTCATTCGGAAAAATATTCGGAATCTATAGACCTTTCGATCCTTAAAACGCATGAGGATAGTTACGTATATGAACTACTAACTTCCCGCCCCGGGGTAATAAACAAAATGACATTAGAGTTCCATAGGATTTATATTAAATTGTTTGATTAATTCCTTTTAATAACTAATCAACTAACTCCAATAAAATTCCAAGTTGGGCAAGATCACCCTCATATTAAGCACTTTCAGTTTCATGCCTTCACACTGGCGGCGTCTCATTCATTTTGACGTGTTGATTACCAGTACGGCCGTTTTTTTTTATTACAAGACAAGTAACGTTTGTACAAAGACTTATAATTTTTTGTAGATTCATACTGGAAAAATTATTTAAATATCTGAAGAAGACATACTGTCGAAATATTGTTTAACATTATGAAGCACTATGTTTTTCCTTTTTTTTCTTTTCTTAAGTCACGCATTTCACTTTCTGCTTATGCGTGCTTACAGTTGGTGCTATTGTGGTGACAGAATCGGAGTTTTTATTTGATCACGCCAGTTTTGCTGCTTTTACAGTGTAAACATAGCCGCGCCAAGGAAGAACAAAGAGCAGTAGTCGGATTTCTTTAGTCGGAAGGTGTGTCAGGAGCTGAAATTCATCGAAGGCTTTTAACATCGATACACCGACAGTGCACTACCGCGTAGAAGTATGTATGGCCGGACAGGCGTGACATACGAAAAAGGAGCAAGGCGCCAGCCAGCCTCCACCACACTATGAGAAGATTCAGCAAATTCGAAAGATGGTAATGGCGAACAGGCGAGTTATCCTCGATGAGGTAGCGTGTTCTCTGAAGATTCGGATTACTGCTCTTTCTTCCTCTTTGCTGCACACTGCTAACGGTGCGGAGATGTTTACACTGTAACAGGAGCAAGAAAACTGGCGCGATCATTATCAATCTTCGGTCATACATATTAAAAAAAACATTAATTTTGAGGGAGATCCTAGAAAACATAATATATATAATTTTTATATAAGTACATTATATATGTTCCAAAGGTTGTCACAACAGGTGATGATAGTAGAGACAAGCTCCCACTGCTATAAAATACTACAGTGGCATGCTTCTCAAATAACTTTTGACAGCTTCAAGGCGAAGAATGTGAAAAGACGGGCAACTGGCGCCTCCTAACCAGCTGTTTAGTTAGATGGAAATCAATAGTCCAGGAAGGCAATCCATCTAAGGGGAGAAAAATCCTGATGAGGTAGCGTGTTCCCTGCAGATTCGGATCACTGCTCTTTCTTCCTTAGTGCATACTGCTAACGGTGCGGCCATGTTTACACTGTAAGAGCAGCAAAAAAGCAAAAAAACAACTGGCATGATGAAGCTCAAACTTCGATCACGTGACCACAAGAGTACCAACTATAAGCCCACATGAGCAGAAGTCAATGTGAAAAACCTAAAGATATTTTATGGCGAAAGTGCAGATAAATTTTGACTTACCCTCATATAACAACCGGTTATTCGTTTCTCGGGCACATCCGTCTGCTAGTTAAGCCCTGTTGCAGACACTTGCTATTTCTGCTTGTTCAACACCCACAGAACCTTCTTTTTATGTGCCATATCCTTTCAGGACGGAGGAGATCATGGCTCTCCATCTTCCTCTATCCTATGTTGCTCTCAACAAGTTCTTTCCTTCTTCCTCCACGTTCTGCCATTCACTTGCTTAAGCCCACCAGGTATGTCACGCATTGCTTTCCTTTGTCTCTCTTTCCCTCTATTCGACCCGTGAGTATCAGATTCTCCAGACCCACCTTCCTCATTATGTGTTCTAGAAACTTCAGCTGCCTCTTCCTGATGTTAAGTATAAGCCTCCTTCAGCAAGTAAAACATATATTCCCCTTCGTTTAGCACAACTATCTCTCCAGCGCTAACGTTCTGACTATACAATTAAATCTCTTGACGCAGGTAAGAAAGGATTTGGATTTTATAACCATTAACCTTTACCACTCTGTATTTGACTTCATTTGTTGTACGAAAAGTTTATCCTCTCCACTGAAGGTGACTCTGATCCCTGAACAAGTGTTTGAATTTCATAGTTGTGTTGTCATATCCTGCTATGGCAACAGAAGAAACTTTGAGTGAAATTAATAATAAAAATAATCTAATTCCTCTGGAAACTAATCCTCCCCCAGACCACGTTCTGTCATCCACTTGCTTAAAAACGCCAGGTATGTCACGCGTTGTTTTCCTTTTATGTCTGTCCTTTCCCGATCTATTCGACCTTTGAGTATCAGATTCTCCAGGCCCCTCCTTCCTCATTATGTGTCCCAGAAACTTCAGCTGCCTCTTCCTGATGTTAAGTATAAGCTCCTCCTTGTTTGCAACCTCTCTAAGACCTCATCGTTGCTCACATGCTCGGTCCATGATATCCTTAGCATCATTCTGTAGAACTACATCTCTGTCGCCTTGAGTCTCGTCTTAATCTTTGAGGAAATCGTCCAATATTTGCTGCCGTAAAGAAGGACAGATGTCACGTAACAGTTCAGTATTCTTTTTTTTTTTGTTACCAAAGAAATCCTCCTGTCTCGCAATACTCTGCCCAGCTTTTGGAATGTGTCCTTGGCCATCCCAATACGTCTACGGATCTCAGTGTCGCACTTACCGTCCTCTGTCAAAACGCTTCCCAGATATTTAAACTTCCGCATCTGCTTGATTCTAGTGTTCCCGACCTTCAAATCGCATTTCAGGCTCATCCTTTTTACTGATGACCATGCATTCTGTCTTCTTATAGTTTTTATGCTTAGTCCTTTTTCTCACTCTCCGTCGCTACCTTCTGTAGGAGATTTTGTAATTTCTTTTCCGTGTCTGCTATCAGTACTGTGTCATCTGCGTATCTTATGTTGTTAAGATTGTGGCCGCCAATGCTAAAATCCTGGTAGGGTTTCCAATTCTCTCAGGATTGCCTCGCTTTATAGGTTGAACAGGTCCGGTGAGAAGACAATCCTTGCCTTACGCCCCTTTCTATTTTTTTGTTATTCACTGAACTCGTTTCCTATTGTCAAAACATGTTCTTTGCTGACAGTATAGGTTCTTGATTATTCTGATATTTTCCATGAATATATCAAGGTTTGAGAGAAATCTCAATCCTTTGGCGTAGCTTTGTTTTATGTTAAAAGTTGAAAAAATTTTCCCATGTCAAATTCATCATTTTTTCTTTTTTTTGATGACCAATGAATATTTAATTTTTTATAGTTTAAATTATATACATTAATAAACATTTTGTCTTCTGAAAATCGTTACCTTCTGTGGAAATATTGTTCAGTTTTCATTTTCTCTTTCTGCTAAATTTGTAAAAATTCTGTGTTGCTGTGACTCTTTATTTTAATTCGAACCTTAATTTTCCAAATTCTGGGAGGGGCGCATCATCTGTCATGAATTCCATTATATTTTTTTTTTATATGAAAATTTTTTACCCTCATTCGATGACTTGAAATTTAGATAAAAAACCATAAAT